AAACGTTACAGACTGTCTAAGAAGCTGAAAATGCATTGGTGCTAAAAAATTTATAAAGATCTAAAAACGTGTCAAAAATCAAAATGGAGAGAGTAGTTCAACCAACATGCCACCTTAAATGCCCAATTCTCCTCTATCCCCACATGTCTGTCTTCAAACCAACAGTATCTCACAAAGGTGACAATATTCTAGGGCTGAACGATTTTACCAAGAATCCAAATTGCCATAATTTTTAACCAATATTGTAATTGCAATTTTATGGCAATTTTCTTTTGGACTAAGCACAATCATGTCCATATTTTACTCCAGGATTTTCGTTTTTTTTTCACGACCTAGAAAGCCCGTTTGTCCAGATTCCAGTGTTGCAGGACTTTAGTGTAACATTTGCATGAAAAAGTTCTTAATTCTACTATAATGCATAGATCTAGATGGTAGCTGCAACTCCCTGTTCCCTTCTGTGCAATATCATACCCACTCTAATTGTATTATTGCCACCTAAATGGCTGAAGGGAGAAATGCAGTGACTTAGTCTTGTTAAATATGTTTTTCTAAATTGAAATTATATTGCAAATGCAATTAATTGCCCAGCCTTAGTAAATCCCTCACATAGCATCTTGCTAACAAGTTAGCAACTTAGTGCTAGTAGGTTCGCAACCGGAAATTACGTTTGGACCAAGTAGCACTTAGCAACGACACTGTCAAGGAATGCTATGGACAGTGGAAACATGCAAGAGGAGGAGAGTTTTGTTTCGGAAAAAGTCAAAAACTTTTTTTATTAGAGGAAGAGGGGACAAGTTTTTGTGACAATGGTGGGACAATGAGGGCGATCCAGTTGGAAAAATGGTCCCAGCGTTCTTGCACACCTCGCTCTTCTATCTGGTCCAACTTCTCGAGTGTTTTTTTTCACAATAGCGGTCAAACAATCAAAACAAGCGGGCAAGGTACCAAACAGGAAATAGTGTAGATCGGATGTAGATTTGACCAATCAGAGGCCTCCTGTCTGCGGTCACCTACAATTTTGGAGAGGTGCACCAGAGAGTCTGCGGCAGGGGCAGGGGCACATTTGCATTCACTGCGACACATATGCAGACGACCTGGTTTCTGAGTATAAATCAGCCTTTAGAGGTATGCTTGGGGTTGTTATGTCTGAAAAATACAGCCCAATTTCAAAGATCATGCTCATCTTTGGTATTTCACAGTGGACTTCAATATCTATGGTTCTCTCAGTGAACAGCAGCTCTCCACAACAAACTGCACACATGCTGCCCTAAACCATAATACTCCAACCAGCATACTTGACTGTGGGCAAGACACATTTATCTTTGTACTCCTCACTGATTGCACACTTGACACCATCTAAAAGCACATTTATACAGGTGGTCTGGTCATTGGAATAGTAAAGTGAGAAAATTCACACCTTCAGTTTGCCCACTTTGCATTTACACAGATTTTTTAGGCTAAAACAAACATCATGCTGTTGAAGTAGATTTTTTGTGTGCAGGATTTCTCCAGTTCAGCACTGATGGAGAGGGAGAAAAACAAAGAATAAAGTGTTTCTCCCTGGGTTTCTGTTGTTACTTTGGTGTGGACCTGCACAATTTTATTACACCAAGTAACTCAAGGAGACATTTTAAAACCCTTTCATCTTTGTATTTGCACACTTAATTTGCTTTTCCTTTCCTTTCGTTGTACGTCACATCCTCTCTTCCTGCTTTTTTTTTCATGCTAGAACAGACACACATTTATATTCCAAGTGAACCCCTCCACTGACGAGGAATATCGTACGCCACCATGGTCCTTGATTGATCAACACTGATATAACTCGTTCCAGAAAACAGACTATGGCAAGATTGAAATTTTTTTAAAAGGTGTTTAGGGAAAGAAGTGAAAACTCAGATAATCACCTAAAGTTAAAAAGAATTAGCAATTAAGTAGTTTTTGATGTGAATAAACTCATTTGAGTAGATTTAAATGACATTTGACCAGTAGGATTGAACAAAGGAACCAGCTGTTTCATAGATTTTTGACTGCAGATAAAATAATCCTTGCATCAGTGAGAGTCAATTAATGCTCCAAATGCACTAGATACGATTTAGATATTGTCCACTGTGCGTTTTTCTACAGATATAGGATCTTATAACAAACATATCAACACTAGATAAAACTAGAAACTACCTATTGTGTTAAAATGAAGTTTGATTTTAGAAGCTAAAGGGGTGATCTGAAAGTATTAAAAACATCAGTGAAAGCAGAAAGCTCTACTAGATTAAACCGTAAAAATTTACACTAGTATTAAAATTGTTGCAACCCTTAAATGGCGTGTTCAGGGGCAGAAGTGTTAAAACTGCAAAGTGTCCTGTTTTTTTTATATATATATATATATATATATATATATATATATATATATATATATATATATATATATATATATATATATAAATGATAAGTTGTCGAGGGAGAATATGTTTGCATAAAATGAGAGATGAGGGAGTGAAGCTGAGCAGTGGAGTGCGTGTTGATGTCAGCTTTGCATGCATAACAAGAATGGAAAACATTGAACCAAAAACTTCAATGGAGTATTTTTTTTTTGTTGTTGTTGTTGGTTTCTGGAAGACTTTTAAAACTTCAGAAAAGTCAAATTGCATACAAGTGCTGGATTTTTTTTATAGTGAATTGCTAAAAATTGATTGGGTGAAACCATTTCTCAATTACATTCCATCTGGATTAAAAAGGACAACTTTCTGCTGCTTCATGAGCATTTGGATACATCTTTAGAGGCTGGTTGGGGAGGCCTCAGGATAAAGGAATCATAAGTAGGCAAAAAGAAGGATAAGGTACAGAGGTCCTACAATTTCTTTCCAGGGTATTGGGTTTCTGGCGATGTGTCAGTGGAGCTCGGGTTTCTGACAGGGCAGCTGCTCTACATCCACAGGCAAGTTCCTAATGACAATGTAGACACTCTCTTATTTACATATATTACTGGTCTTGGGAGAGTGTAGACGTCACAGCCACATCACAAAGCACCAGGTTTCTACAGTCAGCAATCATTGAAGACGTACAACTCCGTATGTATCTACTATCTTTCTAAACAATCGAAAATAAAGACACAGACAGAAATGATTTATCATGATTCTATCATATATATTTCTTTATCCTTGTCACTGATGGACAGTAGAGGTCCTGAGGTTTCGTTACACAGAGGTTTTCAATCTAAACTTAAATGATAAAACGGCAAATCTGATTAATAAATAGAGCACTTTATGTCCCTTTAATCAGAACCATTGAGCTGAAAATTAAAGAACAATCATTCCAGCTGCTCCCTCCAATATCTGAATGAATGGGTGCATAAAATCTATGTGTTCAAATGGATCTGCCTCCATTTTTACCAAATCCATTTGTGACACTAGCTACTGCTGAGAAAAAGGGCACACATAATGCATGGCACTCTGGTAGAAATGACTAACTGTAGAGAACAACACTGCAAGGAGCCTTCACCATCTTTAACTGTAGCTTTCTCTGCAATGCTTGTTCAACAGTAATCCAAAGTCTGGTGTGGTGATACATTAAATCTGTTTCTTAACCGGCTAGAGTCAACAATTGGTATGGGAAGTTAGACATTTCCGATAAAATACAGCAGCCGAACCAAAGAAGCCGACCCAAGGAAATAAAAATATGCGAAATACACAAACAGTGTTAACTCCATCAAACCATATAAGCAATCCTCTGCTGTTTTTTACTTGCAGATACTAGCATCCCTTTTTAACATTTTTTCTATTTAATCTAAGACAGTCTATTATACGTCCAAAAGGCATCAGAATAGAAGCAAATACAAAAAATATTACCACTCTATATGAAAAATCTTTAATAAAGCTAGCACAAGTTATAACTTTACAGAAAAAAAACAGTCAACAAATGAAAGTGGTACAAAGTGAGCTGATGCCAGCACAGCAACAGGTGGCTCTTTCAAATGTGCTGCAGAATTTAATTAGCGTTTTCGGTCCCAATGCCCAGGGGAGAGGAGAGGCATACAGTGGCTAAATCAAAGTGTGCCACTTGAGAAAGAGCTCAGATCCCAGTTATCTCCAGACTGCATATTAGCCAGGAAGAAGGTGCAGCTTGGGGATTTGGCCGGGAACAACCAGATGACTAAACAAACTCTGTGCCTGTTTACTTATAAACTCTCATTTATTACCAGCTTCAACAGCTAGATAAATTTAAGATTATAATATGCATGTATTTTGAACACTGTTCATCAAAAGCTTACTATCAGCAAATGATCTAAATCAATTAAAGTATTGGTAACTCAATAAAAAATACAAACAGGCTATTCATTAGCCGATCAAACATGAAAAAACTGTCACCCAACAAATCTTAAATCCACTAGAACTGATTTAGCATGACAATGTTGTGGACACAGCGGACAAGTCTCCCTCATGACCTTGGCAGCTGTTTCCTTCGACTGAATAATTGAGCCCAGTTTGTGCAGGGCCACCGAACCGCGACCAAATGAACTGTTGCAGCACACAGCTTCTTGTACAAGGGCCATTGTCTATGCAATGATTACATGGCATTTCCACATGAAAATTATGCCTATCTTAACTGAAAATGTTTGAGAATATTTGGTAATGGCGATTTCGGAACACCGACACCAGTTCCAAACCTTAGATGCCATTCATGCAGCCACTTTCACCACATTAAGCATAGCTGCAACTAACCTACCGGAAACACTTGCATCAAGCATGTCTAAAACCATTCCGTTAAACAAAAAAAATCACTATCAGTAGTGTTGCTGGTTAAAACCAAGGGAGTTGTTCTTTGGAAAAAACATTTCAAAACAAAAGTCAATCAATGTCTTTCATTGGATCTACAGTCTTGCAAAGACTCTTAAAATACATGGAAAACAGACCTACATCAGGAGAGAGAGTGCCATCTTCACAGTCTACAGATTTCCCTGTTAATCCCAGGAGAGAGCCAGAGAACAAAGGAGCATAGAAACTTACCCAACTCTTTGGAGACAGGAGACCCAACGGCATTCTCTCCAATCTTAGACAGTGCATCAAAATACAACTTTCCTGCCATGGACATAGCTGGGAAAATGATAAAATGTTTGTGAGAGGTGTCCATAATGGTCGAAGACCACAGAATAGCTTAAGGTGAACTATACCGTCTTAGATTCTGTCCATTTCTTAAAACTGACAAGTGCATCATGAATTGCAATAAACAAACTATATCAATAAAAAATAAAAAAAAGACTAAAATACTCAGCTCACCATTAACAGACTTCTCATAGCTCTTTCCAAGGTTCACCAGGTTCCTAAGCCCTGGGTTGAACTGTTCCATCACATTCTGCAGAAGATAGTGGGCAAAAAAGAAAGTTTCATTAAACAAGAATAACGTGTGGAAATAAAAAGTTCAGCAGCAGTTAAAATAAAAAAGGGTTTTTGAAAGCAGATCAAGGTTTTTATTTGGAAAAGCAGTAAATCATCATTTCTTGCAGTTTTATTTTGTTTCTGATTACATCAAATTTCGAACAGTATTCAACATAGTGAGGTGTGGATCACCCCAACTCACTCCACTGGCCTGGTCCATTAATTGCGTTCCAAATTCAAGTTTTTCTTTTCTTTAAATTAACAAGTATGAACAATTTATATTGTAAATCTGATTTATATCTGACTAAAACCATATTTTTTGAAACTTCATTAATATGCAAGCTGTACAATATGACAGTAGGATTAACTGTTTTTCACAATAGTTTGGATAGATGGATAGAAAACTGAATCAATTTGACCATATGATGTTGTTAAATTGTAAAGTGTCTTGAAAAGTCATGTGTTGTGAATTGGCGCTATATAAATAAACTAAATTGAATCAAATAGGATTCATGCATCTAAAGCTGCATGGACAGATTGCTGAACCAATGAAAGGGGGGACAAATCTATAGCTTGAAGGATGGACTGACAGATGACTGAATCTATGGCTGGGTGGACAGACATGAGGAAGGATGAAAGAAAGTACAGATTTATTTAGAGATTGATGGACAGATTTATTGACGGATGTACTAATCTACATTTATTAGAGGTGCACAGTACTGTGTAATGCTTAGCACTCATTGCAAATCAATACACGTTATGCTGTAAACACAGCAGACTGCTTGAATGCAATTATAATTGAAATGCAAATTCATCTTGCCAGTTATACATTTCCTCAATGCTAAAAAAAGATTTATATAATACATAGCTGAAAAGCTACAGCTTACACAGTGGGCAGGAGATAGTGATGTAGAAAAATAACGAAAAGAGCCAGAGCATTGTAGGTTAATCATAACCTACATAATCATTCCAATAATCAGCAACAGAATAACAATAAGATGTTTCTTGGTATTGTGCAGCCCTAATAGGTGCAAATATACTGTGCTGCAATGTAGTGATGCAAACAGTTTTCCACAGCGAAGTTTAGTGAATTTCTAAGGAGTGAAATGCCTTGTCAAGGTACTTATTATAACAGACAAATTTTCACAAAACTGCTAATAGTTAGACCTACCATTAAATACAAGTCAGTTGAAGACAAGTGAGCACAAAGCTTAAAAGGGTCAATTAAACAATCACAAAGAGTGTTAAGATATTATTTCCACAGTAGGTAAATGAAAAAAAAAAACAATAAAAGCAATTTTCATATCTAACATTCCTTGGCAAAGTGAAGGACAATTATGAACAATCATGTACCAATGACAGTCACTTAAAGCTACAAGCGCCTGCATCCAACCTAATGCCTAACTGTGGGATAACTACAAAGGAAAACCTTAAAATTGGGTGTTCATCCATGTCTGCAAATGATCAAACCTCAGTAAAGCACAGCCAAGTCACCCATTGCAATCAATGTTTCACCATCAGTCATGTGATGATCACCTATTTTGTATTCATGCCTTAAAAGGCAGTGAGTAAATTTAAAGCTAAATAGCTCAAATGATAAGAAAGATGTGTCGAATAATAAAAACTACTTCATAACCCATTAGCTCCATATAATTCAGCTATCAATGTCATAATATCTATTAATCCAACTGCAATAGCCAAAAGCTGTTAATCCATCAAACCTACACATGTTATGACATGTACCAAACTTCATTTAATTTCTCTGCAAAACAATTCTCTTTCCACGATTGGTTCCAAACATTTTGTTATCATTAAATTTTAGAACAAGGTGACGGCTTCTGAGGAGCTCGCTGTATAATCTTACCGCACAAAACACACAGGCGCCTGAATTATTAAACCTGGAGTCTTTTTCCTGCATTTCACCACTTCAATGAGCTACGGGGGCTGCCCTAACAGGAGGCCAGGCAAATAAAAGCTGTTCAAAAAGACTAGGGACTTGAAAGAAAAGCCTTGAGTCTTCTTTTTTCACCCCCCCATTCTAGCACTTTATAGTCCTTCACTCTGCTACCTGTGGAGGAGTGTAAGAAGTGGCAACTGCTAATGTTTTTTTGAGGAGATTTCAATCAGACACCTTTTGTCATATATTTTACTTTGGAAAATCAAAAATATGCAGTAGTAACAATGCATAAGGTAAAAGTATTGCAGATAAATTTCACTTTGGAAATGTCAATCTTAATAGTAGCAAAGCTAATTCTCAGTATTTTTATTTGTTTTTATTCCTTTTCTACCAAAGCACCTTCAATCCCATTTAACCAAGGTGGGTCCTATAGATTATGTTCATAATGGCTGTTCCTCACATGACTCAGCTGTGTTGACAAAATACAAAACAAAGGCAATTAGGCACATTATGAAGCAGTTTTCCAGGTCTAAAACTGATAACTTTGTAAACAGAATTTTGATTATGAACCTTAGAACCAATATCCTGGATAGTGTGGTAGCTGTAGAAACACAACCTAGAACCCAAGCCTTAGGAATCTTCCCTAAACTTTTAACCTTTCCATGACAATGTTCCATGTTTGCCATAACAATACGTTCAATTCAATTCAGCTTATTTCTATAGCGCTAATTAACAACACCTGTCATCTCAAAGCACTTTACAGTTCAACCAAATCATCCAGTCAAATTGATTCAAAGTTTTCTATCCAAGGAAAACCAGTTGATTACATTGACTCTTTGACTGGGATGCAATCCCTCACACTAAGCATGCTTGTAGTGACAGTGGGGAGGAAAAACTCCCTTTAGATAGATAGATAGATAGATAGATAGATAGATAGATAGATAGATAGATAGATAGATAGATAGATAGATAGATAGATAGATAGATACTACAATGAATGTCTATATAAAATATAAATAAACCACTCTTTTTGCCATACAGTACCTGAGATAAGCAGCCTTTCCTAAAGAAAACAATAGAATTGGGGTGGAGCTATTTTCCTCAAAACCAGGAATACATCCCTCTCTCACTCTCAAAAAAAAATAAAAATAAAATAAAATAAAAAAAAAACACAACAAAAAGAAAACAGCTTTCTGAACTGGAAAACTGGGATCTTTTAAGTAGTGACAGGTTGAAATTGCCAGGTAAAGCAGGCAAGTGAAATAGACAATAATATATAAAAACGTTTGCAACTTTGGTACTTAACAGTCCAAGTACTTTTAGCTTCCCTTGTATAACTTTACAGGTCTGTCAAATTCAGGGTTGGAAAAAAAAAACTCTCCATTGAACTTTTATATATAACAAAACATGCAATTAATCAGAACACCTGTTGAGTTTTGTTGCGCGTGAATTGGGAGAATTTTCTCCACCTTCATGGTCGCACCTGTTGTCTTCCCATCTAAACCCACCTTATATGTACTTTCGGCGAGCTTGTTCGCCTCCTCCACCTTCTTCGACATCTTTATCCTCCTCTTAAAGCCCGATTAAATGGGGGGAAAAAAAGGTTTTCCTTGAAATAGTTTCTCAGGCGCAACGCCAAGGAAAGCTAGAAAAAAGGGAAGTATGAATCCCAGGATGAAGAAGTAAGAAAAACCTACAAATGTAGAAATTCCCTCATAGCCAACAAGAAACGCCAAACGCACGCATGGCGACAACAATAAGGCAAAATCCGGCTGGAAGTAAAGAAAGTGTGTTTTCCTATCGATGCCGCTGTTGCTCGATACTAAAAGCCTGAGCTGTCAAACTTGTTGTAGGTGGTTAGTTCACAGGAGGGGAGGAGACCGGTGGAGGGAGGTATTATTAGCCTATTTTAACCCTTAGCTGTTCTTATAAGGCGGATGAAGCTTCAAAATGATTATTTATTATCACAAACAGTTACCTGTTTTAATGTGACAAACATACATGTCACTTTAAGAGTTTGTTTTATTTTTATTTTATTGTAAACTTGAAGGAACATACACTTGAACGCACCTCCCTTGATTTCAATACCTTTGTTCCATCTAGAAACTGCATACTCCTGCGTTTGAGGAGGATTTTAATGTTAAATATACTTAGATTCATGAGAAATCATGTTTTTGTTTATATTATTTGGATATACACCTGTAGCCATATGGTAGACTGAATAAAGACAATCAACTACTGGACACGGGTGCCCCCTAGAGGTTAATTTGTAGATACTAGAATAATCGGATTTAAAATCTTTTCACATTTTACGACTTCAAAAGTACAAACCCCTGTAGCCTCTAATAAAATTTTATGTGAAATACCATACCAAAGTAGCTCATAACTTAAAAGAATAAGTAAAGTCTGATGCTTTAAATTATTTGGAACAATTATTTGGACAATAGGGAAATTGTGGTGTTATAAAAGAATTACAGGAAAAACTGGTCACACAAATGTTGACCTTAAAAAAAGAAGAGCTAAAAATAAATAAATAAATAAATAAAAATACTGTACTGAACAGTGTTTTTACAAATATAAATATGATGCAGCCATCTGAAGGATAAATAATCAATATACAGCTGTGGACATTTTTACAGTAACTGATATGTGAAAATAGCAGCAACACCAGAAATGTGCAAAATGATGCAGCATGTTATTTAAGTGGCTAAGAGAGAAACTGTGCAAAAATCTGCATGAATGTAACAACTTGTTGAGGTAGTTGGGAAGAGTGATGCTTATAAAGTCTTACAGCTGCTGGGAGGAAGGATCTGTGATAACATTCCCTGGTGCATTTAGAGTGCAGCAGTCTGTCACTGAAGCTATCTAGTTCTGCAACAGCTTCATGCATGGGGTGGAAGACTTATCCAACAGAGATGTTAATTTAGTTAGGCTCCTTTTGTTTTCCCACCTCCTGCACTTAGTCCAGGTGGCATCCAATCACAGAGCTGGCCTTCTTGATCAGCCTATCCAACTGCTTTCTCTCAGCTACAGATAAGCCACTGCTCTAACAGACAGCTCCACAAAAGATGGCTGATGCCATAACAGAATCATAGAAGGATTTTAAGAGTGCAAAAGAACTCAGCCTCCTCAGCAGGAAAAGTCCGCTCTGACCCTTCTTATAGAGAGCCTCAGAGTTGTGAGCCCAGTCCAGTTTATTGTTCAGGTGTATATCTAGGTACTTATAAGAGTCCACCATCTCAATGTCCGTTCCCTGGATTTTTCCCGTGTAAGTAGAGTGGATCTGCTTCTGTGAAAGTCCACCAACAGCTCCTTGATTTTCCCTGCGTAATCAGGAAGTGGTTCTGCTGGTACCAGTCAACAAAGACTGTTTTATAAATACAAATCTAAAAACTGTGCCAAACAAAATTGCATGTTTGAAAGGGACCACATTGATTTTAAAACAAAACTAGTTATGAGTCTATTATTGGATAAATACCCCATGGATGATTAGGTTTAAGCTCATTCCAAGTCGTCCCTAGATACAGTGAGTGGTGTCTAATTTCTGAAATAACTGTGTTGAAATATACATCCTGTTGTCTCTGAAAAGTTGTTAATCTATTTCAAAAAGGTTTGAATTATGCACTTCAAGCAAAGTGACACACTGAGGTAAACTGCATTAAAAAGTAAAACTGGGTTAGAAACTGTCTAATAGATAATTTAAAACTGGGACCGTTATGGGGAATCATCCTTTTGCTGAGGAACTGTGGTCATAATAAAAATCTCAACTTCTTTTAAGACTTTAACCCTAAATAATGAATGTATGAAACCATATAAAACAATATTAGAAGTCATGGTGCTCAGTAGTGAATGTAAGAGCACGTTCATCCTTATAATACTAAGGGAGATTGAAGGGTTGGGACATGGCTATTCCATCAGGGAACGTCTACGTTCCTAATGGCTGATATTCCTAAATTAAATTGTCAGAATTCCGAGGGCTCAAACTCAAACTATAAATTGGCCACTACAGATTTAAGAGCTAGAAAAGAATATGTTCAGCAGTTTATCACTCCCTTCACCTCTTTAAGATCTTGGCAAAAATTATTCAAGCAAAAAAAAAAGTGTGACATTCCAGAACCTTATTGAGAAAATGGTTTGATTAATACATGCCATAGTTAAAAAGAAAATCGGTCAAATGAAATATTAGAGTGCATAAGCTGTTTTTTTGGTCATGGAGTGTGTTTAGCTCCTAGGTCAATATTAACTTGGGCTTTCAAATTCTCCATTACTTATCTTTGACCTATCTAGCAAGTTTTGCAGTCTTCCCAGTAATGTTTATTGACTTGTCAGTGCTTCATACTCAGATATCTGACACATTTGTATGAATATATCAGAGGTACATTGACATTTATATACTACCAGCTGCATCATTAATAGTTTTTTTCCACAATGTAAATTCAAAGTGTGTTGTTTTTGCAGTGTAATTGCTATCTAAATATCATTATCAACCACTAGATGTCCCTCACATGCAAGACGAGAAAGGTTTCATAACCTTCTGCTTTTTACCAACACCTAACACGTGTTTTATCTTGTATTTGTTTCCAATATCCAGTTAAACTTCTCATTATGACACAATAAAGGCATCAGTTTCAGTTAATCCCTCGCTGGACCATTCTAAATACACCCAGACTGTTCAAGCATCCAACTAATCAAACAGCAGTCATTGTAAATATCATGTGCTGCAACTGTGAGAGCAAATATGTCAAGGCCTTACTTTGTAAATGTCATTTCTGTTTAAAACTTTGGAAAAAAATCTCTCTTGCCATCGAGGGGGTTGCCAAAGGAGCTGAATGCAAAATGAGACTGTACCCTAAGGCTCTGAAAGTCTAGTGCTGCTCTCCCAGCTTTCAAAATGCTGTTAAGTGGCACACACAGAGTAATTAGTCTCTAAAGCTCCATTGTGAGTGTTAGGTCTAAGTATTCCTTCCTCTCTAGTTGGCACCTTCTGCAACATGTCTGTCTTGACAAACTCCCAGTGGGTGGGCGTAAATCGATCCAAAAGGAATGTAAAGTTAAATAAAGCAACACAAGGGTCATTTATAACCAGTTACATCTCCCAAGGTGAAAAAGAAAAAAACATCTACACAGTGTTACAAGCCATGTTGTCATTAAACCTGATTTGTTCCATCTGTATAATAGATGCCAGGGGATGCAACTCACTGAAATTATTACCAAACATAATGAGAGTTGGAGGTAATGTTATTTAGTTTTGGTTTCTTTGAAAAGTACTGTAAACCCTTTGGACTTTTTCACATAGTTCTGACGAAATCCTACACTTCACTTTATGTGACAGATCATGACAAAGCAGTGCACAACTGTGAACTGGTTTTCAAAAAAGCCCGCTGGCTAATAACTCCAAATATCTTGCGTTTGACAGATTGACAGGAAGAAAGTAATTGTTGAGGAAACAACATAAGATGTCCTTTTCACAGTTTGCCAAAAGGCATGTAGGGGGAAACAGTGAGAGGGGAATAGAAGCATAAGCATAGGGTCAGGATGACAAGGATGTAATTTAGGTAAAAAGATATTTAGATGCTGTCATTGTTCGGACAAAGTCCAGACCTTTCCTGAACTGAAATAATGCGGCAAGACATAAAAATTGATGTCCACAGATGATCCTTATGTAATCAATTTGGATTTGAGATGTTTTGCAAAAAGTATTGGTCAAAAAGCATTTCTCTAGATGTGCAAAATATGGCACAGCACTCAAGCCTTGCAGCTGTAATTGCAGTATTAGGTGGTTCTACAAACTAATGACTCATTGGGGCTTTCATCAGTTAAAAAAAACAGCCACAAAAAGGGCTTTACATTGCTGTTTGTTGGTATATTTCATAAAAAGAATCAAAACCCATGAAATGTTTGCTTTAGTTCAATGGATGGATTGGTATGGATACTGTATAAGGCATCGTACACTTATTTTTTCCCTTGAGATGAAGAACCCTTGACCTACCACTAAGGCTATACTTTCCAGCACTTGGCTGTAAATTCCAGATATTCAAGGTATCACATGTATGTCTCGATCTTCAATAAGCCATGATGATATTTTTTCTCTGTAGAGGTATACTTTATGTTTTCTTGTTGATAGTAATGCCTCTTTGAGTCTTTTTTCATGGAGTCATTTAAGGTATAGTGGAGGATTTTTGCAAATTTTTTTGAAAGACCCGTGCTCTCGACTTAAAAAGAATAAAATGCACGTTCAAAACCCTGCAATGCTTATTAAACGTGTGCAAAAGCCTTCCGTAGCCCATTTCTCCTCATGCTCTCCTCTGTTTTAAAGTTGCTGTTGGCATCACTCATACAAGCTTACTTTCTAAAAGAAGATTTGCAATTTTTCCACTATGTCAGAGTCACCACTGGTAAGGGAAAATGGGGGCGAGGAGGACTGCCTTATTTAAACATATCACCAGAATGATTGACAATTAGAAGGACCACTTATTTTGATGATCCACCCAGAAAAAGAACATCCTCCACCTTATCTTTAATGTTAAAGATGCATTGTACACTTTGCAGACAGAGTGATGGTGGTGAAAGTTTAGTGTTTTAAATATCATGTAGGAATATTAGAGGTTTCTCACCATTCCCATCCCTAATATTGAGCATGGCTTCTTTGTGTTTAAAACACAGGCAAAGATGCAAAATAATAATGCTGCTTTGTTGTAAGAATATAGAAAATACAAAGAAGTAGATTTTTATAACCAAAAGTAGTTAGTTGGCTACCACACAATTAGCATATTTCAGTTTTTCCCTTTGTCTAGGATATAGTTAAGGTAAATTTGGTGTCATTCTCTGATCCATTTTG